TAGCGTTTGGCATCTCTCGCTTCGGGTCGACGTCTCCGATTAGAAAAAACTTATTCTAATGGCGACTATGGGTTAAATAGCGAGAAAGATTCTACTCGAAAGGGAGGTGTAATATACTTGGTGTTTCGCGCTACCGTAGTTGTCAATTCGCCTGGTTCGAATGCGTCGAATTCAGTGTGATATGACCTCTCGGATAGTTGTGATTCGTTCTTCCTTTGAAGCGCTCACTGTGAGAGTTGGAAAATTCATTAGATGTTATCGTAGATTATTTGGTCGTTGGATTCGGTCGAATTTCCGAATTGTCGTTTGGCTGGGGGTTACACGCCACTAAGGGGAGGCTGGATGCCAATATGAGATGGCTGGATGCTAATTTGAGATGGCTGGATGCCACTGTGAGATGGCTGGATGCCAATGCTAGATGGCTGGATGCCAATCTGAGATGGCTGGATGCCATTGTGAGATGGCTGGATGCCAATTTGAGATGGCTGGATGCCACTGTGAGATGGCTGGATGCCAATGCTAGATGGCTGGATGCCAACCTGAGATGGCTGGATGCCAATGTTAGATGGCTGGATGCCATTGTGAGATGGCTGGATGCCAATGTGAGATGGCTGGATGCCAATGTGAGATGGCTGGATGCCAATGTGAGATGGCTGGATGCCAATGTGAGATGGCTGGATGCCAATGTGAGATGGCTGGATGCCAATGTGAGATGGCTGGATGCCAATGTGAGATGGCTGGATGCCAATCTGAGATGGCTGGACGCCATTGTGAGAGGGCTGGATGCCAATTTGGAAGGGCTGGATGCCATGGTGGGAAGGCTGGATGCCATAATGACACAATCCCACAATGATTGTGGGTGAACTAGTAGTGAAAGTTGACTTGCCTGGCTTGTTGTATCGGGTTGCAGTGTGAGTCCGACTCCACGTACCATGCTCTAGCCTAACGACTCTAAAATGCTTTATTTCTTTGAGTGAGTTAAATTTCAATCGTTGAAACTCAACCCCTGACTGATGTGGTGGTTGAATGTCAATCTTTGGATCTCGGTTAGTACTGGTAACTAAGTTTCGCATTGCAGGGGAGGTCAATTTCGTCTCGTCAGTGAGTCCCTGAAATATTTTTGAACTGTAATATGATTTGTGATCATCGGTACGTGGTATGAAATATATCACGTATGCGTAGTACGAAATATAATATACTATACGAGGTTCGGGCGCGTGAATGTTGACTTGCCTTGTTAGGCTTCTCGACTCGAGAGTGAACGCGGACTTGCCTGGTTCGAACTTATCGAGCTGCAGCGTGAGCCTGCCTTTACTTACCATCTAATAGAGTGAGTATAGTATTTCTGTATTGCTTTTAGTGGATTGAACCTCGGGTAGTGACGTCGCATTGCAAATGAGCTCTATTTGCTCTGTCAATGGGTTCCACAAGCATTCGTTGAACTGATACAAGGTTTTAAATCATCGGCACGTGATACGAAATATGATGTACAACCTCTTCTTGAGATGTTCTGATGCGCGGATGTTGACTCGCCTGACTCAATTTCAT